TCTCTATCCCCTTTAACTTTGTTCGAGAGGCACTGAACAATAGCCTCGGTAATTACAAGTTCAACGAGACCATATTCCCCTTGGCGAAGAAGGAGCAGCTCAAGTTTTGTTCCAACAACGAAAAATTGGATGGGTTTTTCAATAAGCTATTTGAACTTATTCATAAGGCCAAGGTCATCTTCGTCATTATCCTATCCTCGCTTGCCGTCGCTGCCATGGCGCCCATGGCTTGGATGGAGATCAGGCGGTGGCGAAGACAAGAAAAGGCAGCCGGACATATAGAACAAAAAAGGCTTTACGATACGTGGGATCCCATGGATGCTTCCTACATAGCATCGAGACCAACCACGGCTCTTTTTGGCATCAACATAACGTCTAGAATGAGTGGCAGACGCCAGGCTCTCGCTAGATGGTGTCTTGCGTACGCCACGTCTGGACCCGCGATCTTCGTGCTGTCACTCGCTATTGCTGGTCTCTTCTCATGCCTCTGTCAATACGTCATACTGAAAGCAGTCCAGAAGGAGGTTCCGGAGTTGACAAAGGAAATTGGGGAATTTGCAGACGAGGTTGTGGCAAAAATCAACAATATCTCAGCAAATTGGGCGGCTGATGCGAATGGAGTTGTCAAAGGGCTCAATGACGATATAAACAATGACGTTCTAAAGTACGTGACGAATGCCACTGGTGCTGTGAATAACACGATAAACGTGTTCCTTGGTACCTTGAATAAGGGCCTCGAGACGGTCTTCAACGGTACAATTCTTCTCAAACCTATTCAATCGGTCTTGCATTGTGTTATCGGCATAAAGCTTGAGAGCGTGCAAAAGGGATTGACCTGGGTCCACGACCACGCCCACGTCGATTTCCCATTATTTGACAACAACACCTTCAGCCTTGGTGCCCAGCAGAGTGTGTCTGGAGACTCGGGCCTTCAACATTTCCTTGCCTCGCCGTCTTCGGCAACGACTGATGAGGTATCAGCGGCGGTCAACCGGGTCACCAACTGGCTCTTGAAGGGCATTACCAAGGAGGCCTTAATATCTACTGGTGTTCTCCTTGTTTATGTCATAGTCGTGTTAATCGGGTTGATCCGAACTCTGGCTGGCATGGCGTTTGGCGGCAGCGATTCCGAATCTGATGATTTCCCGCACGCTGGGAAAACTAGTGGTCAAGATGAATCGCGGTCAGAACAACCAGGTTCATCTCGATACTACGATGGCCGGGGCGAGAAAATGGAAGAGGTACATTTAGATGATTATCAGCAACACCCATACAGGCCCTTTGACTCAAAACACCCTTACTGAACAGTGTACTTCCTGCGAATAGCATTGCAGAGTCTATTAATGTACTATAAAATAGAGAAATGGAGCAAATAATTTAGATTTAGATTGAAACCTTTTACTGCCATTTCTCTGTCCGTTGGCGCTGCATGGCCAATTTGTGACAACAGAGAAAAGTTAGGTCCCAGGATACACTTTGTGTTGGGTTGCAGAACATGGTGCAGAGTATGAGACGAGAGTCAACCCCATAAATGCAGAGGTAAATAGCTACACAGTACGGAGTATCTACCAGTTGCACCTCACACCCTGTACCATGAATACTAGTGCTAGCCCTCCGTGCATCCGAGCTTCACATTGACGATCCTCTTTCCCCTTTAGGCAAGTCCGGCATTGTGGGACCCCCAAGCTGCAGCTCAGATGCAAATGCGGGATCTCGCATGTTCGAAGTGACGGAGAAGACACTACGTAGCCTTGCAGAGATAGGCGGAGGGTATCGTTGCAGCAGGGGATCTTGGAACTGCCATTACTTATGTATACAGAGTACGAAAAAAAAAAGGAGAGCAACACAGGACGGGACAGGCATTTAATTACCAAGTTGACCTCTTAGTAGGTACTAAGTAGGTACTTACGGGGTACTCCGTAAAGTAAACGAGGCGCCGCATGTGCCAATTGACCTACCTCCGTTACTTAGAGCACAGATGGTCTGGTAGTTACTTATGTGCGGAGTACGGAGTACATTGACGTACTACATACGTACTACTCCTAGTCTACTACTGTGGCGAGCAGGCTGTGATTCCGCGGGGCTGCGTGCCTGCATGTGCCCCATTCCTCTGGCAACTCGAGTCAAGTACAGTCATTTTTTCCTCCCCACTTGAACATAAAAGAGGCAAACGCCCACCAGCTCTCAATATCCTATCTTTAAGCCGTGGCACAGTCAGTCCCTTATTCTCGAAGAATCTATTATAGCGCCTTGATTGTATATTTGGATCCGTCATGGATGCTATCAAGCAAACCTTCCAGCGCTGCAAAGCGCAAAACAAGGTCAGCTCCGTTCTTTCCCACCCCTCGCCAAAGCTTGCTTGCTTCATCGCGGGGCATGACATTGGCGGCGTATCTATTACTGACACGATGCTCATACAACAGGCTGCACTTGTGACATATGTCACAGCAGGCTTTCCCCAGCCTCAAGACACCCCGGACATTCTGTTGTCCATGGAGAAAGGCGGCTCCGGTACGTTCACCAACCAGCCTTGCTCCGTGCTGCGTATCCCATTGAAGTCTGACATTCGTTGCGTCTACCTCGTCCTTAGATATTATTGAGCTCGGTGTTCCTTTTACAGATCCAATTGCAGATGGACCGACCATTCAGACTGCCAATACAGTACGGTAGCCTCCGGCATCGATGCTACTATAGGCACGCATGGCTAACCTGGCTAGGTTGCCCTTGAGCACGGGGTCTCTATTGAGACAACACTTTCCATGATAAAAACTGCACGTGGACGAGGCTTGCGGGCGCCGGTGCTTCTTATGGGATACTACAACCCCTTGTTGCGGTATGGTGAAGAACGCTTGTTACGGGATTGCCAAGCAGCTGGCGTCAATGGCTTCATTGTTGTCGATCTACCGCCGGAAGAGGCCGTCTCCTTCAGAAAGCTTTGCACTAAGGGGAGGTAAGTCACATCTCGCAAATGTCGCGAATTTCTCCTTAACCAACAATCTTATGTACCTTCTTTTTCTTAAGCAGTCCCATGATGGCTAATTTGGAATCGTGCTTGGCAGCCTCTCGTACGTCCCGCTTATCGCTCCCGCAACATCTGATGCAAGGATGAAGATTCTGTGTCAGCTGGCTGACTCTTTCATTTATGTTGTATCACGGCAGGGCGTTACCGGAGCCTCAGGGTCACTGAATGCCAACTTACCTGCTCTCCTTGAACGTGTGAAAAAGTACAGTGGGAACAAGCCTGCCGCTGTTGGCTTCGGTGTTAGCACGCGTGACCATTTTCTTAGTGTTGCCAACATTGCCGACGGAGTTGTTGTTGGAAGTCAGATTGTTACCACGTTGCAGAGAGCTGCCCCTGGCCAAGGTCCAAGTGACGTAGAAGAATACTGCGCGTACCTGTGCGGAAGAGGTGCTCTGCCACAAGATGATGCAACACGAGAGGTTGGAGTCGTCGAGGCAATTAGTGGCGCCAGGGGTCCAAGTGGGGATAATGTGACAGTTAACGCTGTTGTGACTAACCAAGATCGACTTACAGCCGAGCAAGACAGCGATCTGGTGTCGCAACTTGCAGCTCTTCATGGCAAGATTCCCGACAGATTTGGCGAATTCGGCGGTCAATATGTTCCCGAGAGTTTGATGGATTGCCTGTCCCAGCTGGAAGAGGGATTCAATAAAATAAAGGATGATCCTGAATTCTGGGCAGAGTACAGATCCTACTACGACTACATGGGGCGACCATCACGGCTCCATTTGGCCGAAAGACTAACTGAGCACGCTGGCGGTGCCAACATCTGGCTTAAAAGGGAAGACCTAAACCACACTGGCAGCCACAAGATCAACAACGCTTTGGGTCAATTGCTACTGGCGAAGCGTTTAGGCAAGACCAAGATTATTGCAGAGACGGGGGCTGGCCAACATGGTGTTGCAACAGCAACGATTTGTGCCAAGTTTGGCATGGAGTGCACGGTATACATGGGAGCCGTAAGTATTCTGTATTGGTGACTCCATCTGTCGAATCTTTGGCTTATAAGTTAATTAGGAGGACGTCCGTCGCCAAGCACTCAATGTCTTTCGTATGCGATTGCTGGGAGCAAAGGTTGTTGCTGTAGAAGCTGGCAGCAAGACTCTTCGGGATGCGGTGAACGAAGCCCTCCGAGCATGGGTTATCGAACTTGATACCACTCACTACATCATAGGCTCCGCAATTGGACCTCATCCATTCCCGACCATTGTCAGAACCTTTCAATCCGTGATCGGTAACGAAACTAAGAAACAAATGATGGAGAAGCGCCAAAAGCTACCTGACGCAGTGGTCGCCTGTGTGGGGGGTGGCAGCAACGCTGTCGGCATGTTTTATCCTTTTTCCAACGATCCCACTGTCAAACTGCTCGGAGTTGAAGCTGGTGGTGACGGCGTCGACACAGAAAGACACAGCGCCACCTTGACCGGAGGATCCAAGGGCGTCCTTCATGGAGTGCGTACGTATGTCCTTCAGGATAATAACGGTCAGATTTCTGAGACCCATTCCGTATCCGCTGGCCTTGACTATCCAGGAGTCGGCCCTGAACTCAGTTCTTGGAAAGATAACGAGAGGGCCAAGTTTATTGCTGCTACAGATGCACAAGCCTTTCAGGCCTTCCGGCTGATGAGCCAATTGGAAGGTATTATCCCAGCACTTGAATCAGCTCATGGAATTTACGGTGCCATCGAACTAGCCAAAACTATGAAGAAGGATGAAGATCTCGTTATTTGTCTGAGCGGTCGTGGCGATAAGGATGTGCAAAGTGTGGCCGAGGAACTTCCTAGACTTGGACCGCAGATTGGCTGGGATTTGCGATTTTAAGAAACTACTTATACCCAACATCAAACTTCTTGTGTGAAGTAACAATAATGTCAAGTAAGGAGTATTCGGTCATGGGTTATGTTCTCATAGTAGGAATGGCCTTTTTTTTGTACATGATGACATAGAATAAAAGTACAAAGGATAAAGTTACATGACATTATGCTCCAGCCGTTTGCCTCCTGGTCGGCGTAGACGCCCCATCGAAATTTTCAAGTTCGCTGAGTAATTTTCGCTCCTCTTCATCAGATAGTTCTTCCGCGCCTTCGAAGTTAGCCAAGCTGTCATCTCCCAGAACGAAGGTATCTGCTATGGTGGCTTGCATCTCGTTTAGAGTAGCCCGGCTTCGCATGCTCAATGGACCAGGAGTGGCATAATCCAATGCGAAATGGATTACATCGTCTCGGTTCTCAATTTCTTTCGGTTCCAGTCCCAGTTCAATCCTCTGTTCGTTAAAGCGTTGTTGAACGGCCTGGGTCTGCATTAGAATCCAGCGTAGATTCCACCCCCCTGGCCCAAGCTCCCTGATACGAGCAGGCTTGCTCTTGAGGAGGTAGTTCTCGATCCCTCCTTCCCTCCGAATGGTCTTCAGCACGCGCAGTGTCAGCCGGGTCTTAACACGAGCGCCTAAGGAAGGGGAAAAGAAAGTCTTGACGTGAACGTTTGGTCGCCAAAATCGGCGCGACTTGTTGTTGTGCTTCTCCGCTACGTTGTTGCCGAAGCGAATTCGAGCGCTGCCGTAAAGGCCGCGGTTAGATTGCTTATATATACGGCGCTCCCCATACGGATAAGGAGGGATCAAATCTGAGGGTAGACGATGAGGTTTAATTGTCTTTGTCTGTTGAGACGCTGTCGTTGAGAATTGTTTTGGCGAGAATGCATGGCCGTTGTAGCCAGCTATTCGTCGAGGAATCGAGAAGCTGGTTATGCGATAGGCATGAGAAGAAGTTCGGGAACTAGATGAGGACATTGCTGACTGGCATTTCGAAGATAGGAGAGCCGTGAGTCGCCGAACCGGGTTGAAGGTAGATGTAGGCATGGTGCGGCGCAGGGGAGAACCCGAGGTCCGGCAGTGTCGCAGCTGTAAAGAGAGACCGCAATTTAGAGGCTCAATGATCTATAACTAAGGCATTGAGAGAATGTCGTGGGAAAATCCAGTGTCGATTTTTACTAATGGTGGTTGCCAATACCAGTGGCCGGGAGCTCCACGAATCGTCGTGGAAGTTTCTTTGACCAGTACAATGCCATGAACACGGCGCAAATAGTAGACCGGGGCAAGGATTATTCCGTGCCTTCTTGGGTCTGGGTATCAGGTGACTGCGTGGATATTTGGCGCATGGTACTCCGTACGTTGTACACTCCATTAGCTGCCCCGCTTTTGACGCCAGTGCTAAGCATCGCCCGAGGAACATTTGCGTGAGTCTGTCATGGCTTGTTCATGATCATACTTTACCTGCTGGGAGATCAGACCCCGGGATTGGCCCCTTTACACTGTTCCACCCTTTAAAATATCCTTATTGATATGAGGGATGATGTAGAAAATCAGACCCCATTTGTCATATCCCCCCCCGGCATCAGTTGTTGTTTTGGCAGTCTGCTTTAACACATCACCATCCACCGCCTGCCATCAGTCCATCATCAGCGAACCAACAAAAGGGCAAAATAGAAAAGCAAGAAAAGATAAAGACTGCCGTGTACCGCCGCATAGAATCAACACTCAGTTCAACCTGGCAGTTTGGGCTGATGTATGCACCCTGAGCCTCATGATGATTCCCTCAGTGGATGACCAAGTCTTGCGAGATAACCCTGAATTTGCAAAGCTATATTCGGTTCTGAAAAATGATATTCTGAATCCGGACGGGTCTACCAAATGTGATCCTGATGTCAAAGAGCGCAAAGTCGTAACTCAGGTAAGCTTATCGGACATCACCTCCATGGCCCATTTTCAGAATGTTCTGGACCTGCTTTAGCTGCCAAGCTACACACATGTCAGCCGTGGGAAGGGGGAGTAGCAGAGTTGAACTTGGACTAATTAGCCATGTGCTGTCGGTATATAACAGGAGTTGAATAGCATGCGCCGCCGTTGCGCTAAGCAATACCTACTGCAGAGAGCCATCGCAACTGCTTCACCTCCAGATGTCAAGACATCAGCAGACAAACCCGCAGACACCAGATCCGACGAGCCGACCCTAACAGAACCGTCTGGTTTGCTCGCGGAGCTTCTCTACATCCTTCCATCTCTTGTCGACAGCGACCTACCTGTCGATAGTCACGATGTGGCTTTGATACTTTCCAGCCCGCCATTCTCGGAATTTGAGTCCCTGCTACCGGAACTTGGTGCTATTATTTCCGCCAATCTTCACGCCTCAGCACTCAGTCTGGTAAGGATTACACATCCGTCCAAGAACCCGTCATACCTTCATCGCCATATTCCTTCTCTTCCAGCAGACCATGCGGCACTCCGTGGCAAACTTTCTGAGGCGCAGCAAAGTCTTATATCCAATAGGCTACAGGCACTGGCCTCATTGACAGAGCTCATCAGCTCGTACACTCAGTCTCTCACATTACTTATTCAGGCGTTGGAGTCGAAACACGGGCTCGCCGCCAGAAGTCTCGAGCTGTGGGCTCTCGACGTATCCCTGGAAGCACAGAGCACGGAGCTGGATGCCAAAGCAACATCGACCAGTCTTAGCAAAGAAATGTACTCACCTGAAGCCGTCACAGCGCTGAGACACTACTTATCTCACTTAAAGGACGCCCAAGTTCGTGCGGCCGAGCGAGTTCGAGGCTTGCAGGCAGAACTGGGAGAGTACGGCGTAGGCGTGGACAAAGACGGCTCCAAGGAAAAGACAATGAAGGAGCTGGCACGAGTATACCATGAGATGGAGAGGCAAATGGAGGATGTTAAGAAAGATCTTGACAGACTCGACAATAAGCAAGATGAAATGGGTCGTACGTGACCGAATGTAGATTCTTCTTTCCCTATTGAGGGCCAGTGCGAATCAAGAAGAATAAAGTTGATCATTCCATTTAGCTTGCCGTCTCATCTATACCTAGACTACAAATACATTTGACAGCCACGTTCACGACTGATACAAGATGGTGTATCGGATTTCAAGGAGAGAAAACACCTGATACAACGATCTTGCCCTAGTCCCATGAGTGGACTTACATGCCAACACAGACTCATCGTCGCTCATCATCATTTTGAACACCCAAGATACAATCCGGCGCAAACTACTGCCCAATGGTGAAGTTTATATAAGGCTGGTGGAATACATGGCAAAGGCTTGGGTAGGTCAGCTAGTTTAGCCCTTGACGTTATAAATGGCTTCGGCGAGTCGGCCAACGTTGTCAGAGGTAATACCAGCGACGGAAATACGACCGTCCTTGGTGGCGTAAACAGAGAACTCCTTGGCAAGCTTATCCATCTCCTCAGCGGTCATGCCTGTGTATGCGAACATGCCGATTTGGCTGGTGATGTGAGACCAGTCATGCTTGGAGCCCAACTTCTCCAAGTTCTCCTTTAAAAGAGCACGCATGGTGATAATGCGGTCAGCCATGCCCTTGACCTCGCCGAGCCACTGCTTGTACAACTTGGGGCTGCTCAGGATCTCGGTAGCGATGCGGGCACCGTGAATGGGAGGATTGGAGTACAAGGGGCGAATAAGAATTTTCAGCTGAGAGTCGACACGCTTCTTCTCGGCGGCGTCGGCACAGACGAGGGAGAAGGCTCCGACACGCTCGCCGTAGAGACCCTGAGGTACGCAAGAGAATATGGAATTAGCCCACTAGCCATGGTAATGCAGAGGCCTATAGAGGGCCAGAGACCGAACGTCATAAGAGGAGTTACGCACCATGTTCTTGGCGAAGGATTGGCACAAAGCAATCTGATGGCCCTGTTCAACGAAGTGGCGGACAGCGAAAGCGTCCTTGTCAGTGTCGCCGCTGGCGAAGCCCTGGTAGGCCATATCAAAGAAGGCGAAATGACCTTGCTCCTTCACAACGTCGGAAATTTGTTTCCATTGTTCAGGAGTAGGATCGACACCTGTAGGGTTGTGGGCGCAAGCGTGGAAGAGGAAGATGCTGCCCTTGGGAGCTGCCTTGATATCGCCAACCATGCCTTCGAAGTCGAGACCGATCGTATCCTTGTTGTAGTAGCGGTACTGCTGAACTTCGAGGCCAGAGTCACTGAAGACGGCCTTGTGGTTGGCCCAGGAAGGGGTAGGGATGTAGATCTTCTTGTCTCCAGGAAAGAATCGCTGGAGGAAAGCGGCGCCAATGCGCAAGGCACCAGTGCCAGATATGGACTGAGTAATGGCGACGCGATCCAGAACAGATGAGTGGGCACCATAGGCCAGCTTGGCAGCCAGGGCAGGGAATTCGGCAACGCCAGTGATGCCGGCGTATTCCTTGTTCAACTTGTCGTCGATGACCTTCTGCTCCGCTTCGCGAACAGAGGGCAAGACATAGGGTTTCCCCTGATCATCTCGATATGCGCCAACACCTAAACAACGGCAAGCGTAAGTCATTACGTTTGCGCGAAGAAGGAAAGGAAATGTCGAATGGAAATCATTCCATCGTCATGTGGTTCTGGGGGCTGGGTCCAAACATACCCAGGTTGATCTTCTTGTCGGACTTGTCGGCCTTGAAAGCTTCGGTGATTCCTGAGTTGGGATAAAACACACGACAGTTAGAACAGCCGTCATCATTCACTACACGACTAAAGACAAAGGGCGGGACAGTGACATACCGAGAATTGCCTGCAAAAAAGAACAAGGGAACGGCTTGTCAGCGACACTACAAGTCCTACCGCGCGCAATTGGTTTCAACTTACATCCTATGGAGATGCGGCATTAGTACAACAACAGAGCGTTGAATTGAGACGGAAGAATTGCGCTGCCATAGCTATCTGGAAAACTTACCGGAGGACCTTGAGGAACAGCTGACCAGGTGGATGCGGCGCGGATGGCGGCAAAGTTGGTAAAAGCAGAAGCAGGCCGACGGGCAGCTTGCCTGGAAACAACTCGAAGGGTGGAGAGCATCATTGTGACGAAGGGAGGTTGAGGCAGACAGGTGTAAAAGAAGAGAAAGAGGTTGAGCAGAGATGTCAATGGGTAACGAAGGAGGGAGGAGGGAGGCGTGCGTCGAAAGCTCGCTCTGTTCGAAGATGAAGTGCGAAAGCCGAGTTGGCGTGGGAGCTCCGAGGGCGGTAAGAGTTTTGATCCATGCGTGCCGAAGCAAGCAGGTACGTAGAGGGATTCAAGTACGGAGTACCGACAAAGTATCCAAGCGCGCACTCAGGTTCGGTGGGTTTGCACCTGACAGTGCTAGGCACTTACACTTAGGTAGAAAGTCGACTCCTTTACCGCGGTTGAGTACATACTAAATACAAAACAAAATCCGTGTGGACGTACATAATGACCCACCTGCAGCCAGCCTCAAAGTGCGTCGAGTCTGGTCCGACACATGTATGCATTCGGCCAGTGCTGGACCCTGAAAGAGTCGCCAATCGAAATGCTCGTCACTGGCACAACGACAGGCCCTTGAAGCTATATATAAGCCCGCAGACAGAATTGACGTCTGCGGAGTTAGTTTTTAAGACAGCAAGACACTTCACACGGATGCGATGATGCAGTTTGATGGTACCAATCGCACCTCGTGCTAGATGTTCCAAGTCCGAGTCCCAAGTTCGAATGATGGTCAAGCGTTGCCATGTGTCAAGACTTGGGACCGAACGGCTGATTCTACGGGCATGGAGCGCCTAGTACCCTAGCGTGTCCACTACTTAAGGCAGGTACCTAAGGTTATACGGAGTACTAGTACTAGAGAATGCTGATACATGCATTCATTCGCCTTGTCCATCAATTGACATCATCCGTGTCAACTTGCCCCTTGACGCGCCAAGTTTTGGGCAACGCTGCCTACCTGCTGGGTCTTTCAATATACATACATGTGTATGCGGTTCACGATTCCGGTCGTATTTCCTCCGTGCCCAGAACCAGAGAAAGAAGCAGAATGGCGCCGCGGCACACCGAA